AAGTGCCATGGGCTGCCAAAAGAACCAACAGATCTGTGTTGGAAGAAGTGCAGCCAGAGTGCTGCTTGGAGGCCAAGATGGCCAAACTGTCTCTCATACTTCAGACATATTGTTAGGAGGGACCAGTCACTGGAGAAGGACATCATGTTTGGTAAGGTGGAGGGTCAGAGAACAAGAGGAAGACCCCAGAAAGATGGACTGGCAAAGTGGCAGCATCAATGGGTTAAAGCACGACAACGATTGTGAGGTTAGCCCAGGACCGGGCAGCGTTTCGTTCTGTTGTGTATAGGGTCGCTATGAGTCGATACCAACTCAATGGCACCTAATAACAACAAATGGGCAAAATGAGCCCTGGCACGGTGCTGTAAGATGATAAGCACTTGACTCCTAACCACAAGGTCAGAATTTCAAACCCAGCACCCACTATTGGAAACCTTATACCGGGTCACCATGAGTTGGAACTGACTTGACAGTACACAACAGCAACAATGGGCAAAAGACTGAATGTTGCGGAATCCAGCAAAAGACGATGGAAGGAATAAAAAGAGTCACAGCACCAAAAAGAACTGGGCGATGTTCAACCATTGAAGAAGTCCAAGCTACACTGAAGGCATCAGCAAAAAAGAAGGCTCCAGGAATTGATGCAATACTAGTAGAACTGTTTCAACAAATCGATGCAGTACTACAGGCATTCACTTGTCTGTGCCAAGAAATTTGCAAGACAGCTACTTGGCTAACCAATTGGAAGAAATTCATATTTGTGCCCAATTCAAAGAAAGATGACCCAACAGAAATCAGTGAACAATATCATTAATACCACAAGCAAGTAAAATTTTTGCTGAAGATAATTTAAAAACAGTTGCTGCAGCTCATCAATAGGGAGCTGCCAGAAATTCAAGACAGATTCAGAAGAGTCTGTGGGTTAAGGAATATCACTGCTGACACCAGATGACTCTTGGCTAAAAGCAGAGAATACCAGAAAGGCATTTACTTGCGCTTTATCAATTATGCAAAGACATTCAAATGTGTGGATTTTTAACAAACTAAACCCTATACAGGGTCGCTATGGGTTGAAATCGACTCGATGGCACTTAACAACAAATGGATCTCATTGGGAAGAATGGATAGTCCAGAATACTTGTATTCATGAAGATCTTGTACACAATCCAGGAGACAGTCATTTGAACAGAACAAGGGGATACTGAATGGTTTAAAATCAAGTAAGATGTGTGCCAGGATTGTATTTTTTTCATTATACTTATTCAATCTGCATGCTGAAGAAATAATTCAAAAAGCTGGATTATATGAAGAAGGTGGCATGAGGACTGGAGGAAGACTCATTAACAGCCTGCAATATGCTGATGACATAAACTTGCTTGCTGGAAGCAAAAAGCGCTAGAAATATTTACTAATGAATATCAAGTATGAATTTCACCTCAGTGTACAGAAAACACAAATTCTTACAACTAAACCAATAATAAAATCATATAAATGGAGAAAAGATTGAAGTTATCCAGGACTTCATTTTGCCTTGATCCACAATCACTCATGAAAGCAGAAGCCAAGAAATCAAGGGACGTCCTGCATTACGCAAATCTGCTGCACAAGAAAGACCTCATTAAAATATTAAAAAGATGTCAGTTTGAGGACCAAGGTGTACCCAAGCCATGCATGTAAAAGTTGGATAATGAATAAGGAAGACGTGATACATTTCAGTTATAGTGTTGGAGAAGAATATTAAAATACTCTGGACTGCCAGAAGACAAAAACCTGTCTTGGAAAAAGTACCTGAATGCTCCGTAGAAGTGAGGATGGCTGACTTTGTCTTCTGAACTTTGGACATGTTGTCTGGAGGGACCAACAAGGGAGTCCCTGGAGAAGGTCATTCTGTTTCGAAAAGTGGAGGGTCAGCAAAAAAGAGGTAAGACCCTCAGTGAGATGGATGGGCCTAGTGCCAGCAACTGGGCATTGTCCTGTTGTGCATAAGGTCGCTATGAGTTGGTACCGACTGGATGGCATCTAGTAACATGATTTTAGGGGAGAAGTGAAAGGGAGAGGAAGCATATAAGATTACCTTTTGTCACTTTTTTACCCGACAGTTTAATGTATTTTGGTGCAGAAAATTTACAGCCAAATGCCATTTTCCTCCAAATGACATGAATTATACTAGCAAAGTGGCTTAACTGAGAAGAGATGAGAAGACAGTACGGTTGAGACTAAGGACAGGCTCTTTTCTAATCAACGTTTCTTTTCGATCCCCACCTCCACTGTGCCCCACGCCGGCCGCCTTCAGCCCAAGTCAGTATACCAGAACCATGGACGAGGCCGGCTCCGAAACCAAACGAAATCAAGGCCAGGAAAGCCCACAAGTTCCCCGCATTAGCGGGAAAGCTCAGACGTTGGAAATTTGCTCTAAAAGGGAGTCCGTCAACGCCTCTTCTATCAGGACAGACTAGCCACTTCCGCCCCGACTCCCTCCCGCGGTACTGCCCCTCTACGTCATTAAAATGCTCCGAGTCTACGACGAAACGCGAGTGTTAGGTGAGCGAGTCTCAACCTATGGGGTGCCTGGAACGAAAATCTGTGCGCAATGTGTTGCTGAACGCTCGGGGTGGCGGACCAATTGGGAGTCCTCGGACCCGGAAATGGTTGCTGGTTACAGAAATCAAGCTCTGAGAAAGCGCGAGGACAGGGACTTGGGGGCGCGCAGGAGTGGTTGAGTGTAATTTGGACGCTATGTTTTGCATGCCTGCGTTTAGCCAGTAAGAGTGTATCCCTATAGCTTTTGAGTGGGGAAAAATCAATGTGCTTGTTGGCCTGTGGACAGAATTCCCACTGCAGCGTCCCGGAACCTGCCTGTGGTAGAGCCCCTCAGATAGTACTTAAGAGGGAGTAGGAGAATCTTGAAGACGCAATTCAGGCAGTGAGAACATGAATCTCTTACCTAAAAGCTCCAAGGAGTTTGGCTCCGTTAACTACTGGGATAAGTTCTTCCAGCTGCGAGGAAAGAAAGCTTTCGAGTGGTATGGGACCTACCTGGAACTCTGCGAGGTGCTACACAAATACATTAAGCCCAGAGAAAAGGTAAGGAGCGCGGCTGGGTAGTTCTGTGTGTGCCCTCGGGAAGGTGGGGACTAAACCGCAAACCGAAACCCACTGCTGCCATCCACTCCATATATGTTCATAGTGGCGGAGAACAACGGCCTTACAGGGTTTCCGAGGCTGTAAATCTATGTGAAAGCAGGCTGTCGCAGCGTTCTTTTTCGGAGCCACTGGGTTTGAACCATTGGCCTTTCCTTTAGTAGCCAAGCGCTGTAACTACTGCACCACCGGGATCCTTACGAACAACAGTAATCCTGCACTTGGTAAGAGTGTGACAAGTTATATAGCTATTACTTGAGCTATGCTTTCGCGATTACAATGCACAGTTATGGCAAAAAGGCAACTTAAAAATATGGGTTTTCAGGTGTTTAAATTAACTGAACTCCATGCCACCACCCATACTTCCCTTCTGTCCTCCAGTTCATCTTTGAATGAATAAACTCACAGGGAGAATGCTTTCTGTAGTCATGCAATCTGGCCGTCTCCTGCTGGAAGTATAGCTTCTCTGAGTGAGACCCTGGGCTCCTCTGTCACTGTGCCGTAAGCCCTGGAGCAGGCAGTTTGTCTGGTGTCTTTAATATGTGACTCTTATCAAATAGTTGTTGAGTGGGTCATACTCAGAACTGCTTAGCCTTTATGCCAGAAGACTGTTAAAACATAAACCCTGAGCACATTCCAGACCTAGAGATAGTTATTAAATGTAATAGTATTAAGTACAATAGTAGAAGGATTGGTAACCCTGACAGATGGGATTGTACAGGAGGTAGGGAAAGAGCAATCGTGGAAAACCAAATTGGTGGAAAGGAGCTTTGTGGCCAAGCCTTATGCAGGGTGCGGGCTGTGTGTGATTGTTGATTTTCATAATGACTCTGGTTAATGCTGGTCCATGCATTTTATAAATGAGCAAGATTCTGAGAGCCAGTTTTTTTTTTTGCCTCAGGTAAGATGTGGCAATGTGGCAGCCTCAGTGGGCTCAAGCGTGGCAACAATTGTGAGGTTGGCCCAAGACCAGGCAGTATTTCATTCTATTGTGCGTAGGGTCGCTTTGAGTTGGTACTGACTCGATGGCACCTAACAACAACAATAAGATGTATATAGTAAGTGATTATCTGGGGATTTGGACTCAGGCCTGTTTGTCACCTAGATTTATGCACTTTTCGTGGGACCATGCTTTTCCAGAGAGGGTGACATCTGAGTGAGTTTTGAAGACTCAGTGGAAGGTTACTCCACAGAGAGAGGCAAAACAATTTGGCTTCAGAAAAACTGAATATCATGAAGTGGAACCTGAGATGGAACTAAAATTTGAATCATCATAATATGTAGTTTCTTGTCTGGTGGATCTAAAGGCTTGAGTGGATTGAGGAAATAGGATTACGCCAGTCCTAGACTTTCAACAATAAAATAGATAGTGGTCGTAGTTATGTGCCATAGAGTTGGTTCCAACTCATAGAAACCCTGTACAGGGTTTCCGAGGCTGTAAATCTTTACAGGAGCAGAAAGCTTCTTCTTCCTCCCACGGAACAGCTGGTAGTTTCGAACTGTTAACCTTGCAGTTCGCAGCCCGATTTGTAACCACTACGCCACCAGAGCTTCTTAAAATAGATAGTAGGGAATTTAATTTGTGAAACTTCTTATCAATCTTTGAATATTAATATTTGCTTCAGAGAAAAGAACATCCATGATTAATTTGTTTCTGTAACAGAAAGCCCATTCTCACATAATGTTTTATTGTAGTTGGATGTGGTTTTCACTAGTGAATTCTAACTAGTGATGTTTTAAGATGGAGCCTAGAATGAACTAGAATGTTGTTCCTCTGGACAAGAGTATCTCCACCTCCTGAAAACATTTAGCATCTGAAGCAGAACTTGACTCCTTGCAGTATCAGAGGCACATTCCTTTGCTCTGATCACCTTCCCATCTGCGTCTTTTCCTCCAGGTGCTAGTGATTGGGTGTGGCAACTCAGAACTGAGTGAGCAGCTGTATGATGTGGGCTATCAGGATCTAGTGAACATTGACATCAGTGAGGTCGTCATCAAGCAAATGAAGGATCGCAATGCTACCCGGCGGCCCCAGATGAGCTTCCTGAAGATGGACATGATGCAGATGGAGTTTCCGGATGCCTCATTCCAGGTGGTGTTGGACAAAGGCACCCTGGACGCTGTCCTAACAGACGAGGAGGAAAAGACCCTGCAGCAGGTGGACAGGATGCTGGCTGAGGTTGGCCGTGTCCTGCAGGTGGGCGGTCGCTACCTCTGCATCTCCTTGGCACAGGCTCACGTCCTGAAGAAAGCAGTGGGTCACTTTTCTCGGGCGGGGTGGATGGTGAGGGTGCATCAGGTGGCCTACAGCCAGGACCAGGTGATGGAAACAGAGCATCGGTTCTCCCTACCTGTCTTTGCCTTCATCATGACCAAGTTCAGACCAGTCCCTGGCTCTGCCTTGCAGATCTTTGAGCTGTGTGCTCAGGAGCAAGGCAAGCCCGTGCGGCTCGAGAGTGCTGAGCGGCTGGCTGAGGCGGTGCTGGAACGGCAGCAGTATGCCTGGCTGTGCAGCCAGCTACGCCGCAAGGCTGGGCTGGGGAATGTGTCTCTGGACTTGTGCGATGGGGACACGGGGGAGCCCCGCTACACCCTCCACGTGGTGGACAGCCCCACTGTGAAACCTTCGAGGGACAATCATTTTGCCATTTTCATCAGTGAGTTGGGATTGTTCCCTCTCTTTCTTGGTAGGGGTTGGCTCAAAGGGTCTGGGACTTGGGCGTGCACTTTGGTGAATGGGTGTGTCTTCGTTATTTATCTTACAGGACCCCAGAGGGTAACGAGGGCTCAGGCATGTGAAAGGGAAGAGCTCTCCAGCTACTACTTACACAGATTTATTCCTTCCCATATACCATTCCAAAGGCTTCCTGAAGTGTCAGAATAGGGTTGGTACGGAGGAGACAGAAATAATAGAAATTTAGGCAAATCACAGGTTGCATAGAGATGTAGTCTCTAACATAGAGTAGTGGAAGCAACACTGGACTTGCAGGGCTAAAACCTATGTTCTAGTCCTAACTATAATCTATGAGCCACATGGAGTTGTCATGCTTCTCGGCTGAATTTAGAGGGACAGTATGGAGTCCTGGTGTGGTGCTGTGGGCTAATGTGTCAGACTGCAAAGTCGCTCGAGCTGCAATGTCAGTGGTTCAAGGTTACCAGCTGCTCCTTGGAAACGCTATACAGGGTCGCTATGGGTCGGAATAGACTTGGCGGCACTTCACAAAAACAACAATGGAGTAGTAGCTGAAAAAAGTGAGCTCTGGAAGCAAGACCATTTTGGTTCTGTTCCTAACAGTGTGACAGTGAACAAGTTTTATTTTGTTTTTTGTACCTCTTTTTCCTCATTTATATTGTAACTAACTTGTGTAGTTGTTAGAAATGTAAAAACACTTGAGAACTGTGCTTGGCACATGATAAGTGCTTTATCAGTGCCAGCCATTATTATTGAAAGGGACATATAATACCAGCTTGACCTTAAAGATCCCAAGAGATAGGATGAGGAAATGCTTTCAAAACTAGAAAGTTCTAGACAAAGGCAAAGTGTTAGTACGGTAATGCTACTAATTTGTTTGCTTATGGCAGAGCCGTTTCCCCAAGAGCTTCCATAATCCCCTCTCCACCCATGGGCAGGACCAGTGCAGTGGATATGAGCAGGAACTGGATTGCAGTACCAGCTTCACCACTTACTGCTTTGTGACCTTGGGCAAATGGAATTTCTGGGTCTCAATTTTTCCATTTGTAAAATGGGAATAAAAATAAGGTGTACCTTTTGGGCTAATAAGAGATTTTGATTCATTTATATGTATAGGGTTACAACAATGCTGGGTAAAAATAGATACTAATATTACTGTTGTCTTGCACTAGCTGCTAGTCTCCCTCTCCTTATACACAAGGGGCTTCAAAAAGTTCATGGAAAGATGGAATTGAAAGGTAATGGAAGTTTTCCACAGACTTTTTGAAGCCCTCTTGTTCATGCTCATACTCCTCATTCACCCATTGGTGCTGCCTTGTGTCTGATGGGCCGCTTTTTTCTGGGTGTTGTGCACTAGGAATTTGATAGGCATCAGTGGGTCACAGTTGGAGGAGATACTGCTCTTGGAAGGGCTGGCTCAGTGCCATGTGGGGTATATTGGCTGTGGGCTTGAACCTTATTCCTAGGACTTCTTATCACCAAGTTTCTTTTCTCAGTCCCCCAGGGCAGGGAGACTGAGTGGCTCTTTGGCATGGAGGAGGGCCGGAAGCAGCTAGCAGCCAGCACAGGCTTCAGGAGGCTGGTGACAGTGGCTCTGCACCGAGGTCAGCAGTATGAAGGCATGGACAGCATCCAGGCCGAGCTGTCGACCAGAGTCATGGAGCTGGCCCCGGTTGGGGTGTCTGCCCAGCAGCAGGTAACAAAGACAAAACTTTGACAGCAGCTTTCTCTGGGGTCTGGAGAAGTTACATTAGCAGCCAGGAAAGCAGAGGGGACCTTGGAAGGAGTGAGGACAAAAGTCTGAGACCCCAATCTGTTCTGGAAGGTGTGTCAGCAGTTAAGGACTAAGTGGGCAGAAAAACAGATGCCCACATCCCAGGCAGTGAGTGTAGTAGCACCGCAATGGCTATGGGGCCTCTCCAGTCTGGAGAGACAGCGTGAGGGAAAGGCTGTATACGTTGCAGGCACCAGTGTTCCTCCATCCCCTCTTTGAGCAGGTCTTCTTGGTCGTTTTGTTCTTCAGTACCAGTATTATCTGAGGATAGAATGGGAAAGGGGTAAGCACAGCACAGTTTTCAGAAAAGGTTAGTAGCCTGACTAGCCTGGTGTTTGACTGGGAAGGAAACAAGAGTTTGGCCAAAATGGAGATAAGTTACCATCAGTAGACAGCGTCTGCATTGTGTCGTCCTAATCACTATGCGTCATTGGCAGCTGATCTCATGGCCAGGACTTATGGTGAGGAGTTTCTCCTTGATCAGTGGGATAGCCGACGTATCTGGAGGGCTGGTGCCATTGTATTATCTGGAAAAAAGAATTCCGGTTCCCAGCCCATGGTTTTGCCAAGAGTCAGACATGGCTTTACAGAAGAATGTGTGCCAGGTTCTTCCTGGGCAGGCATTGAGGTTGGTGGCCATTGTTGTTAAGTGCCGTTGAGTTGTTTCTGACACATAGTTACCTTGTATAGGGTTTCCAAGGATCAGCTGGTGGTTTTGAACTGCTTACCTTGTGGTTTGCAGTCCAGTGCTAATCCTACATGCCATACCAGGTATCCCCGTGTCCACTAGGGGGACTTATTTCAGGGAGCCAGCTCCTGTGGGATGGGTCATTTGTGACTTACTAGTGTCTGCAAAGTAATACGAAGTCTTCAAAGTCAGCCATCATGGGTGATTATGAAATGTTCTTTTAGGCCTTCAAAGAGGAAGCTGGGAAGACTGGGGTCGAAAGTATAAAGGATTTGAGGCAAAATGAGTTTTTTGTCCTGAAGTTTAAAAAAAATTTCAGAAGAAAAAGAATAACTTGGGGGGAAGAGAAATTTCTCTGAATACAGAGTGATTATTTTCTCCCTGCAGTTTATTGTGTTTTTCTTTATTCAGATTGCTTCTGTAATTACTGTTCTTTCCCAAGGGTTCCCTCTAGCTTTCACTGGTCACCCGTGAGATGCTCTTAAATTTTCTTCTAGAGAACCAAATGTATTTCATTAGTTGTTATGTGTTTAGTTGATATTCAGAAGATTAATTGAACTGCTTGTGATCTACTCCAAGGCCCCAGAACAGTGCTCCATTAAAATAACAAAACTTTGGAATGTTGCTGCCCAGAGCCTTGAGATAGACCTTTGTACCCTTACATTCAAGGAGCCCTGGTGGGGCAAATGTTAAGCGCTCAGCTGCTAACTAATAGGTTGGTGGTTCACACCCACCTGCTGACTCCACAGGAGAAAGACCTGGTTATCCATTCCCGTAAGAAAACTCTATGGGACGGTTCTACTCTGTCACATGGGGTTGCCAAGAGTTGGTATCAACTCGGCATCTAACAGCGTTTCTTAATACACACAAAAGGAAGGGATTGCAAGTGTCCTTTCTTGATTAAACTGGTGTTCTGACCCCTGCACCGTGTCTCTGGCTGTACCTTTAGGTGCCCTTCCTATCTGTGGGTGGGGACATCGGGATCCGGACCATTCAGCACCGAGACTGCAGCCCGTTGAGTGGCGACTATGTCATTGAGGATGTGCAGGGGGATGACAAGCACTTCTTTCGGCGACTGATCTTCCTCAGCAGCAAGAATGTGGTGCAGTCGGAAGCCAGGTTACTGAAGGATGTGTCTCACAGAGGTGAATAAGGTAGTGGGACCCAGGTGGGCATGACATGGACTCATTGTGGGGGTGAGAGCCTGGCTGAGATGTGGGCATACCTGGGTACAGAGCACATGGCTCTGTGGACTGCCCTCTTCCCATCTGGGCTTTTAGTACATAAATAGTAATAAGCAGAGAAGAGGCATGTGTGCTATTCTTGAGCAAAAGCTGACACTGAAGAGGTAAGGAACAGGGTGGTGGTTGACCAAATAACCATTGTAATCACTTTAGTGTCTTCAATTTTAAGTGTTCGAGTTGTTCCTTATCCTCCTGTGTACAGTTTCAGGGGGTCTTGGTGAGGTAGGCCAGCAGCATGGGAGGACGCAGGGGAGCTCTGCCCTCCTTCATAGTACAACTGTTTTAGCCTTTAGAGTTCCATGGGTGCCTTAGAGAGGGACTAAAATCCATTGCCAGTAAGTTGATTCTGATTCATTGGGACCCAAGTGTGACAAAATAGAACTGTGCTCCTCATGGTTTTCAGAAACTGAACTTTCAGGCCTTCCTTCCAAGGCACTTCTGGGTGGACTCAAACCTCTGACCTTTCAGTTATCTGCTGACTGGTAGCTGTTTGCACCACCCAGTGGTTATTTAGTTTTACTCAATAGAACTTTCTGCAGTGAAGGAAATGTTTAACATCTGCACTGTCCATCACTAGCCACATAAGCTACGGAGCGTGTGACTGAGGAACTGATCATGGTGCTGTAGGATAAACATTTGATTGCAAGGTTGGTGGTTCAAACCCAATAGCAGCTCCTGGATGCCCTCTTCAGGGTAGCCATGAATTGGAACTGACTTAATAGTGCTTAACAACAACAGCAATGAACTTAAATGGCCACTGATGGCTTGTGGCTGCCACATTGGACAGTGTAGAACTAGACCACTTTCTGTACCTCAAAATCAAACCCACTGCCATTGAGTTGGTTCTGACTCATAGTGACCCTCCAGGACAAAGTGGAATTGCTCCTTAGGGGTTTCAAGACTAAGTCTTTATGGGAGCAAACAGCCCCACTGAAGACAGTTTGTATTACCTTTTTTCATTGTGTGTATACTTTTTTTTTTTTAAGTTTTTATTGTGAATTGAGTGATAGTTTACATGGGAGAGCATCAGCTTTACATTCATCCTATTGTATTTTGTTGCATTGCAATGATTACAATCCCCTCCATACATCATCATTCAACAACATTTGCTTCCAATGTGTGTATACTTTTGTTTTGTTTTTAAGCTTTTTATTGTAATTAAGTGATAGTTTACAGAACAGAGAATCAATAAATCATGAACTTCATTTCATTACAATGAATGCAATCCCCTCCATGTACCATCAGTTAACAGTATTTACCTCTAGTCACTATAACTCTTGCACTCCTCCTGTGTCTTCTGCTACCTTCACCTTTCCTCTGCCAACCTCCCACTTGTTGTGTGCTATCTTCCCTATCACCCAAGTTAACTTGTATCAACCCTCTAGCCTGTGAATAATTGTCCCTTGCCTCCAGTCCCTGGTAATCATCATAGAGTTTTTTTTTCAAGACAACATTTCTAACTTTTTACAACAGTGGTCTCATTCAGTATTTGTCCTTATGGTGATTGACTAATTTCACTCAGCATGTCCTCCAGGCATATCCATTGTGTGTATACTTTTGTATTATAAAGTCAGTACTTACTCTTTGCAAAGGGTAAAAAAAAAATTGTAAAATACAATGTGAAAGTTTCTCTTCTCGTGTTCTCCCTTTTGAGGCACAGAGATGAAGTGATGGAATCTGAAATTGGTTTTCAGATACCCAGTCATTCCCTCTCCCTAACTGTTTGTCCTTATCGGCTGTCTGGAAGAGGGCTGGAGAAAATTCAGGACCCTCCAGTTTTGCCCAGAGCCTAGGGTAGTTAGTCTCAGTAGGATGGTTTGTTCTTTAAGGGTTGGTTGCATTCCTGACCTATTATTTGTTCACTGTGACTGTGGGTCAGTTCATTTCATCTCACTAAAACTTAGTGAAAATGCTTAAAGAACATCTTGCCTTCCTGTTTGGGGCTTAGATTTTTCCAACATTGCCAGGTTTCTTGCTTTCTTAGTTTCACTTTCTCCCAGGGGAATGGTCTCCCTCACAGGAGTTATTGGTGAGGCAGAAAGTGAGTATATTAAAAGTAATTTATCATCTGTGAAAAACACCTCATTGTACACATTGGTCCTGGACTACTGTGGAATGCAGCTGTTCCATGTGAAAACACAAAAGCAGATGCTTAGTATTAGATCTTTGAGCAATTGAGGGAGTAGGTGGTTGTTATTAAATGTCGGTGAGTGGGTATAGTGACCCTGCATAGGGTTTCCGATGAGCATCTTGTGGGTTTGAACCATTGACATTGTAGTTAGTCCTATGCTTATCCTGTAGCACCATGAGAGACCTTTGTCCCCATCTGTGAACATTTGTGATTTCTTTGCCCAGCAAGGAGATATGTATTACTGTTTGTATGGTACAATAGGAAGAAGATACACTTTGGAGAATTGGTTCAAATACTGGCTGCACTACCTTCTTATGCTGGCCTTTTTTATTTAATTCTTCAGATCCCAAATTTTTCTATCTGTTAAGATATAATGGTAATTGGAATGCAATGGTTGGAAACAAAGAGTTGGAAAATATGGCCTTGGTGATAGAAGTGATGCTGGAGATTTCATAATAGAATTTTGCAAGACCAATGACTTATTTGCAATGCCTTTTTAAACAACATAGAACATGACATGGACCTCACCAGATGGAATATATAGAAGTAAAACGGATTATACCAGTGGGAAGAGATGGTGGAAAAGCTCCATATCATCAGTCAAAACAAGACTGGAGCAGACTATAGAACAGACCAGCAATTGTTCATACACAAATTCAGACTAAAGCTGAAGAAAATGACAACAAGTCCTCAAAAGCCAAAATATGACCTTGAGTATATCCTACCTGAATTTAGAGATCATCTCAAGAACAGATTTGATGCATTAGATACTAATTACTGAAGACCAGAAGAGTTGTGGAATGACATCAAGAACATTATATAGGAAGAAAACAAAAGCTCATTAAGAAGACAAGAAAGGAAGAAAAGACCAAAATGGATGTCAGAAGTGACTCTGAACCTTACTCTCCAGTGTAGAGTTGTAAAGCAATGGAAAAAATGAGGAGGCAAAAGAGGTGAACAAAAAATTTCAGAGATCAGCTTAACAGTTTCTGGCTCTAGGCCCATGGAGTGAGAAGGCCTTGTGTACCTGTGGCTGGAGGCTAGCTAGCAGAGTTGCCCTTTGGACAGTTAAATGAATATATATTTTCTGTTTTGTAAGTGTACATCAAATATTTTTGCTTTGTTCATTTGTGAAATATAAGCTGTAAATGGGGAGCAACAGGGAGGAAGCAGGATAACTGTTGTTGTAGGGATGGGATTATAATCATTGAGATGAAACAAGATGTATAGTTTATCAATGTAAAGCTGATCTTGTTTGTAAACCTTCACCTAATTCACAGTAAAAAGTTTTTTTAAAAAGGGCAGCTTGCAAAGACAAAGTCAAGTGTAATGAAATGTGCAAAGACCTGAGGTAGAAAACCAAAAGTGAAGAACATGCTCGGCATTTTTCAAGCTGAAAAAACAAGACAAATTCAAGACTCAGCTTGAACTATTGAAGGATTCAGTGGACATAAAAGATGACTAACACATGGACTTTACCAGATGAAATACACAGAAATCAAATAGACTACATCTGTGGAAGGAGATGGTGGAAAAGCTCTATAGCATCAGTAAAAACATGACTAGGGGTGGCCTGTGTAACAGACCATTAATTGTTCATATTCAAGTTCAAGCTGAAGTTGAAGAAAATTAAAATAAGTCCACGAGAACCAAAATATGACCTTGAATATATCCCGCTTGAGTTTAGAGATCATCTGAAGAACAGATGTGATGCATTAGACACTAAGGAGCAAAGACCAGAGGAGTTGTGGGATGACATCAAGAACATCATACAGGAAGAAAGCAAAAGGTCATTAAGAAGACAAGAAAGAAGGAAAAGACCAAAACGGATGTCAGAAGAAACTGAGATTTGTTCTCCAACATAGAGATGCTAAAGCAAATGGAAGAAATGAGAAGTTGAAATAGCAGAATAGAAAATTTCAAAAGTAAGAAAACAAAGTCAAACATTATAATGAAACGTGCAAAGACCTGGAGTTAGAAAACCAAAATGGAATAACAAGGTCAGCATTCCTTAAGCTGAAGAAAAAATTCAAGCCTCCGCTTGTAGTATTGAAGGATTCTGTGGAATGATGGTCAAAATTATCAAAACATTGAATGATGCAGAGAGCATCAAAAGAAAATGGAGGCATATACAGAGTCACTACCAAAAAGAAATGGTTGCTGTTAAACCATTTGAAGAGGTAGCATATGATCAAGATTCAGTGATAATGAAGGAAGAAATCCAAGGTGCACTGAAGGCATTGGCAAACAATAGGGCTTCAGGAATTGAGGGACTACCAATTGAAATCTTTCAGTAAACTGATGCAGAACTGGAGGCACTCACTCATCTATGCCAAGAAATTTAGAAGACAGCTACCTTGTCAACTGATTGGAAAAGATCCATATTTGTGCCCATTCCAAAGAGAGAGGTAACTTAAGGAAGTGTGGAAATCACCAGGTGGCATCATTAATATCATATGCAAGTAATATAATTCCAGAACTTCTGCAACAGTACATCAAAAAAAAAAACCCAAACAACTGCCAGAGGTTCGAGCCGGATTCAGACAAGGGCATGAAACATGGATCTTGACTGAAGGAAGAGAATACAGGAAAGATATTTGCCTGTGCTTTAGTTAAACTGCACAAATACTTTCTACTATATGAATCATGACAAACTGGATAACATTGTGAAGAATGAGTATTCCAGAACGCTTGATTGTGCTCATGAGGAACCTGTATATAAACTAAGACGAAATCATTTCAACAGAGCAAGGCAACACAAAATCAGGAAAGGTGTGTGTCAGGGTTGTATTCTTTCACCATACTTTTTCGGTCTGTTGCTGAGCAAATAATTTTAGAAGCTTGATTATATGAAGAAGAACATGAATGACATCAGGATTGGAGAAAGACTCATTCACAACCTGAAATATGTAGATGACACAATTTTACTTGCTAAAATTGAAGAGGACTTAGACTACTTACTAATGAAGATCAAAGACGACAGCCTTCGGTATGAGTTGCACCTCAATGTAAAGAAAACAAAAAATCCTTACCACTGGACCATTAAATAGCATCATGATAAATGGATGAAAAATTGAAATTGTCTAAGACTTCATTTTTCTTGGATTCACTATTAGCACTATGGAAGCAGAAGTCAAGAAATCAAACAACATACTGCATTAGGCAAATCTGCACTGGTCCTAATTAAAGTGCCAAAGAGCAAAGATGGCAGTTTGAGGACTAAGGTGCACCTGACCCAAGCCATGGTATTTTCAATGACTAAGGAAGACTGTAGTAAAATTGATGCCTTTGAATTTTGGTGACGGAGGAGAATATTAAAAGTACCATGAACTGCCATAAGAACAAACAAATGTGTGTTAGAAGAGGTGCAACCAGAGTGCTCCTAGAAGCAAGGATGGCCAAAATTCCTCTGTTATACTTTGGACATATTATAAGGAAGGATCCCTGGAAAAGGATACCATGCTTGGAAAAGTGGAGGGTCAGTGAAAAAGAGGAAGACCCCCAGTGAGATGGATTGGCACAGTGATAGCTGCGGGCTCAAGTGTAGCAGTGGTTGTGAGGAAGTCACAGAACTGAGCAGTGTTTCCTTCCCATGTGTACAGGGTCACAGTGAACCACTATGAATCGCTGTGGCTCTTGATACCACCACCACCAATTTCAGAATTGCGGTAGGAAGTTTGTTTTAGGTTAGTCCTAAGAGCTAGAATTATGAAAGTTCTGAAATACTAATGACACAGAGAAGGTACTTATCAAATCACTAAAAGAATTTTCTGAGCAAAGTATTCTGGCAGTGCTATTTATTGTATTTTGCAGATTCTCAGACTCCTTGGTTGAAATTTCCTGCATTCCTGGGGAGATCTTTGCCACATCCCTTTTCTGATTCCGTAGTGTCTAGTGTTTTGCTGTTAAGTGTTAAAAAGCAGTCTCTTTAGGGGGAGACAGGGGAGGGCCTGAATTTGCTGCATTTGCCAATTTCCAAGGTATAAATATTCTCATTATGGCTGCTTTCAAGCACCCAACGTGATATCAGCCAGCTTGCAGAAATCCTTCATATTTAGCAGTTGACGCTTTTGAATCTGTTCATACCTGCTGTATCACACTGCTACTAGCATCCTTTGCTTTCCAGGACAAGTACACTAAGTATAAAACTTCACTCGTCTGTCTCTCTCACTTAGCCCAGAAGAAACGCAAAAAGGACAGGAAGAAGCAGTGGCCTGCTGATACTCCAGAGGCCAGCTCTGCAGCTTCAAGGCAGTCCATCGATAGGAGTTACCTGTGCTGTGAACACCACAAAGCCATGATCGCTGGCCTTGTCCTGCTGAGAAACTCGAAGCTGCTCCTAGGTGAGGGAGACCCTGCTGCTTTCCACGTTTCACTAAACTAAACATTCGGTGTCAGTTGGCTATGCACTTTGGAGAACTGTCATTGTGGACTGGCAAATGCATCTTACTTCATCCAGTCATCTTCCAAGTAATCTTGAAAGGACTTAAATGTGTTGGAATCTAAGTATCTAATTTTTGTTCTTCTATTTATATTTATTTTGCTGCTTGGCATTCTTTTTTTCTCCCTCTAATCATTTCAGTTGTTGGAAATCTACACAGCCAATCATACACATTCAATTTATGTCTACATGTATAATTCAGTGACATGCATTACATTCACCCTTTTTCCAAATTGTTCCGCTCCCAGTAACATAAACTCACTAACCCCCTCTCCAGGCTTCCTAGCTAACCATTCACATTGCTGTTGTCAATTTGATCCCATATAAATAGGTTTTTGAAAGGCAAGGTGCTCAAGGTTGACATTTTTTATTAATTTCAGCTTGATAACTTTTTTTTTCCTTTAAGTTTTTATTGTGGATTGAGTGTAAGTTTACAGGGCAGATCATCAGTTTTACATTGAACAAATCATACAACATGTTTCATCACAATGATTACATTCCCCTCCATGCACCATCTGTTAACAGTATTTCTCTCTATTCACTTGAGCTCTTTTTTTTAAAAAACAACAACAACAAAACACTTGGGCATATGTAATGATTTATACCACCAAAGGGCACATTTTGTAAGTCAGCCTCATGGCCACCATCTCTTAGTTCCTCTCTTCCCATGAATCTAGAGTCCTCAGTTGCTCCCTCTCTCCCTGTCCCCATCTCTGCCTCCATCTCTGGCATTGTCGCTACTTCTCTGGATAAGTTTGCACATTCTGTTTGTGCTCTTCTCCCTTGATGGTCCTAGGGTCCTCTGTTTCTAGACTGTATGACTAAATGCTCCCCCATTTATGTTACAAAACTTATACCTTTACAATTGTGACAGTCACAATTAGTCATGATAACAATTACTTGCTATTGAATCATAAGAATCTTATCTCCATCTCTTTTAACCAGACCTATCAAGACAAGTTGACAACTATTCAATGGGGACTCTTCCCCACACACTCTTAAACTAAACTCCCTCTGGAAACCTTGTAAGCCAGTTACTTCGTGCCTTTATCGCCCCCTCATTTTAGGTAGCCAATGTCTAAGTTGCCCATCCCCATCTACCCTGTGTACAGAGGGTAGATACTTGATGTGAAGACGCTTTCCTTCTCTGTTGGTATTTAGAGTTAGTACCTCCATGAGTATAGGTCGAGTTCATCAAATTGTAGCAATTTACCATATTTTTCTTTGTCAAAAATTGTTTTGTACTTTTTGTTTGTTTATCTTCTTCTAGTCGAGTTCTGATTATCAAGCCATCAAGGCTAGGTCAAATGGGTATTATCTGCAAATTTGGATGTTCTTGTGCCTCTCCTCTCACTTCATATCAGCTGGATGCTTCACTCTCATCTCTAGCCCTCCTTGTCCATGGGCTGAAGTGTCCCCAGGTCTCACCACACATTGGACCAACAGCCCAGGTTCCTCTTCTCTCTCTTATCTTCAGGTCAACGGGAGTCAATGGACCATGGTTGAACTCAGCCCATTTCTTCATTGCTGCCTTTCCCCCTCTTCCACTCACCAGTTGGCCAACGTGCTCGTCAGCAAGCTTACATGCCTGCTCATGTATTGCCTTTGAGTTTCAGTCTTAGAGGGGGGGTTTGTCCTGAAGGAACTTGATTGCTTGCTGTGATGGCTTACTGGTGAACAGTTTGCTTGTTCTTGTAGTAGCCTGTCATGCTGACATTTTTGTTTTGGGGTTTTCCTGATTATCTTTCTTTGAAGATGCATCTTCTGTCACTCTAGCTGATCCAGACTGGTCTGCTTATCCTTGCTGTTGGGAATGTCCCACCTCAGAAGGTTCTGGATGGGACTCAGGAGTCCACCTAAGGTCCTATACTCTGCAAAGGCTTTGCAAGAGACCTGTTTCACTGGGCAAGTTCTAGAACCCCTTTTAGGTATTCCATTCAGTTATAGGCAGAAAACGGGCTTACAAGTTTTCTATAATCATGTTTCCCAACCTTCCTTTCTGCCCCACTCAAGTGTCTATTTTACAATAGTAAGCAAGGGAAAACAATATTCATAAGACAGTCAAGCATCCCTTTTTCAAACTATGTCTAGATCCCTGTATCTCAGAGCCCTGTTATTTCAAGGTTAAGCATGCATCACTATTTACCTGTCCCTCTTAGCCCATGCAAACCTGTCTCAGTGTTCCCTTATCTACCTTGTTCTTCCACCTCCTTGCCCTTCTTGTATTGCCTTCCCCAACACCCGAACCATGATGTGTCTGCCTTTACCCTGTGCTCTACCATTGCCTCCCTCCACCTTCCCCGCAACACCCCACCCCAACCCCACCGTTGTGGTTACTTTATATTCGTTTAACTTTTCCCTCCATTTAAGACAGTCTATTTTATCCTGTAATCTACCTGACCTTCCCACCACCTGGATCTCTGTTCCTTCTTTCACAATGTAATTGTTTTGATCATAGACTGACCTCCCAGATCCTATGAATTTTTTCTTACAGTTTTATTCTGTTCTCGACTCTTCCATTTGTTAAATGACTTCTGGGTGATGCTGCCATGTATGTCAATCTCTAGTTGTTGTCTGTTCTTGTTGGTTCTCAGTTCACAGAACTCCCTTTAGGATTTTTTTCATCACAGGGTTGGCTTTGGCAAAATCCCTTAGCTCCTGTTTATCTTGGAATGTTTTGATTACACCATATGTCTCCCCATTGTCTTCTTGCCTGCATGGTTTCTAGTGAGAAATCCGAGCTTAGTCTGATTTGCTGTGTGATACACTGATCTTTTCCTTAGCTGCTTTCAGGATTCTGCCCTTCCTTACCTTTGATTTTGAAGAGCTTCAGTATTATATGTCATGGTGTTTTTCTTTTAGGGTCTATCCTTCCTGGGGTTCGCTGAGCTTCTGGGATGCTTATCTTTTGGCTTTTGAGGATGTTAGGGAAATTTTTTTCTAGAAGTTCAACAATCTCTTCTGTGGACATGTGTGATTCTTACTGTGCGGAATACAGATAAAAGTCTTAAGTTATTCCTCTTCATGTCATCTAACATGAATCTTAGACCTTCAGATTTTTTTATCCTTTTTTGTGCTTGTGCTTCTATCTTAATGGTATTGAGAGATTTGTCTTCCAACTCACTGGTTCTGGCTTCCATCTCTTCAGTTCTACTCCTTTGCTCCTTCAGTGTATTGTCCATTTCTGATTAATTTTTTGGACAATTAATTCTATAACTAATTGTTTGGACCTCTTTCTGTAGGTTTTGAATTGTTTCCAATGCTGTATCTATCTTATTTGATTGTCCTGTAGTACTTTCCTGACTTCCTTATTTTTCTCAACTCCATTGTAAAGTGTTTTGTGTACATTTTATAATCATTTTTCTGAATTCCTTCTCAGGCATTTCCAAAGCCTTCCCATCTTCCAGCTCATTTGCCTCAGTCACTTTATCTTATTTCTGACCATGTGCTGATATGGTCATCTGTTTATGTCTTTGGGGCATATTTCAGGGGTTATCTGTGGCCTTAATACTTAGATGGGTGTGTATTTTGGTATTTTTTCTGATTGCCTCCAGGTAGATGTGATCAGGAGGGCTTCCCTTTTCACTCTTCTTCCTGAAAAATTTCAAGATGCCACTATTGGTCGTTACGATGTAACTCAGGATTTAATTTTTGGCCTATTTCCTTTTTAGTTTGCCTGTCCCGCTCCACAGTCCCCGTTCAGTTCGTTTTGCCAGTGATAAACAGTTCAGGGCCATTTGTGGCCAGTTTGCACTGCCGTTTGGTTTTAAGTGGAACTTGTCACTTTAAATTTCAAGGAGATCTATGCGCATGCGTAGTAGAACCCTATGGGGGATGGCATGGGTTGTCCACTCATTCAGGCACCCCCTCTAGTCACCTGAGTGGAGGTGAACAGCCAGCGACAAACCAATAAACAGCTATGAGAAAAAGAATGTCCACACCTTTATCTCCGCGGTTCTGTCAGACATCTGTGGCTGCTCTGATCCTTCCCCTGCTTGGTCTCATCCAAGATGGTGGCTCCGGGAGCAGCTGAGTGCCTTGGATTAGAAAGCACTGGATTTCTTGCTTCTGCTACAAATTCCACTAGCTGTAAGCCTTTCAGCCTCTTAAATTTTCCTGTATATGTGGTTCAGAGTTCTGGGAGCATCCCCGAGCCTGCCTGGTCCGGTATTCTGTGTTATTGCTGATGGAGCATCTCATTGCACTTCCACCCTCTCTGCCATCTTGTTTGTTCTCTTTGATAACTTTTTTACATATGTGTATTACCTTGTAAAACTAGATGGTACATTTAAAATAATCTTGTCTCCAGTGTCTTTGCACTTTAAGAAAATTACTGGTTTTTCAGTGACACATTATTTTAGTATTAGAAGTTGCTTGAATTGCTACTTAAAAAAAAAAAATCCAAAAACATTCAAATTGGTACATTCATAGCATTATTACTAGTAACAGTTTGGATCCAATCACATAAGCAGAAATGTTCTTAGTTTTTGTCTACACCATAACTCCTAGCCCAGAGTCCCTAAGTATGCCTCATTGAAACACCCCCCACACTTGCTGATGCCCTTCAAGCCTTAGTTCTTAGATTTAATCCTCAGAGTTAATCTCTTTTGGCAATTCTTGTTGCTTGGCTGTGACTTTTCTATTTAGGGATAGGATTTGGGCCTTTTGTTTCTCTGATTTGTGAACTTGAGTGGAGTGCTCTTGTGTAGTTGGGTTGTCAGAGAGGGTGGGTGTGGCCTTTGCGTTGGACACAATGGACACTGCACCTACATTGCCTGTGATCATAGCCCCTCTCTTTCTTAGATGGAAAAACTAACACTGTGCCAGGGACTCTTGCTATGATGTCAGCTGAATGCTTTGGGACCTTTGTTGTTAAGTGCTGTCAAGTCGGTTCCAACCCATAGCAACCCCGTACAGGGTTTTCCAAGGCTGCAAATCTTTAAGGGGCCATAATAATAATGCATGAGTTCCTCTTCTGGACCTGGTCATTGTGAAGTTAGGGTTGAGTTTTCATATGTCAAATTGACTCCTTAAGTTACTGGGATGACTCAAGGAAACCAGTTCTCTAAATCTTCTGTCCCCTGGACAGAACCAACTGCTTAATACCCCCTTTTTTTTCCTTTTGAATTTGTCTTATAGGTGATTTTATTTTGTTTGCTTTTTGGGGGTGGGGTGGGGAGATGTACTCTAAAACACTCAGGCATATATACTAATTTATACCCCAAAGGACACATTCTGCAAGCCTGCCTCCTGGCCAGCAGTTCTTAGTCCCTCTCTTTCCATGAATCTAGAGACCTCAGCTGCTCCCTCTCTCCATGCCCCCATCTCTTGCCTCCATCTCTGGTGTCTGCTCCTCTGAATAAAGGTCCCGCATTCCGCTTGTGCTCGTCTCCCTTGATGGTCCTAGGGTCCTTTATTTCTGAACTGTAACATTACCTACTTCCCCATTTTGCTTAAAAACTTCTACTTTTACAGTTGAGACAGTCACAATCAGTCATGATAACAATTATTCACTATTGAATCATAAGAATCTTATCCCCATGTCTTTTAACCAGACCTATCTAGACAAGATGAAAATTATTCAGTGGGTACTCTTATCTTCCCCCACACACTCTTAAATGTCTAAGTCCCTCTTTTGCCCTCCCTGAGATTGGTACAGAGCTACCCAGATGACAAAATGATGCTGTTTTTTTTAATCACAGAGACGCCACTGGCATTGTTGGTGGTGGGCCTAGGTGGGGGCAGCCTCCCCCTCTTTGTCCACGATCATTTCCCAAAGTCGAGCATCGATGCTGTGGAGATTGACCCCTCGATGTTGGAAGTAGCTTCCCAGTGGTTTGGCTTCTCCCAGAGTGACCGGATGCAGGTTCACATTGCAGATGGCCTGGACTATGTTACCAGCTTGGCACAAAGAGGAGAAGGTACTGCTATTGGGAAATGTGAAGGGCCACTGAGGGAAGATGGATCCAAGGTTGTCAGTCCTGCTGGGTCCTCTAGAATTCATCGCTGAGAGGGTGGCATCAGTGCCATCCCACCATTCACATGCTCGTTTGTTTGTGTATTAATTGAACACATACAGAGTGTTAAGCATATGCTAAAGAATGCTCTGGATGTTGGACTATGAACCAACACCAAACTGAACACACTGCTGTTGAGTCACTTCTGATTCATCATGGCGCTATAGAACAAAGTAGATGACTTCATGGTGGAGCTGGTGGTTATGTGCCGTGGAGTCGGTTCCAACTCATTGCGAACCTTTACAGGGTTGAGTCAATTCTGATTCATCATGGCCCTACAGAACAAAGTAGATGACCTCATAGTGTTCCCAGAACTAATCTTTTTGGAAACTGACTGCCACAGCTTT